TCCTATTTCCATTTTATATTGAGGCACCTACATATTTTTTTCATGGAAAAAGTAGAATATATTGGACTTGACCCAATGTGCATCAAAGAAGCAAATGAAATGTCTCACACTATTTATTGATATTGCATTGAACACAAGTCAAGTCCTTCTAATTCATTGAATGTTTCTATCCATTTGTTGTTACCCCAAGCTGTGCTAAAGTACATTTGCTAAAATTACATCTAAATGATTATTTCATTATATTAATATTTCTGTAAACTGTGAACAAAACTTACACTTTGGTCATTTCCTAGACAAAAGATTTGTAGCAGTGTTCATCTTGAGAAAGAGAAAGCAGCATCTAGAGGAAGAGAAACTGACTCTTTGAGCAGCATCTAGACAAAGAGAAACTGACTCTTTGAGAAGCACCTAGACAAAGAGAAACTGACTCTTTGAGCAGCATCTAGACAAGAGAAACTGACTCTTTGAGCAGCATCTAGACAAAGAGAAACTGACTCATTGTGCTGCTTTGCTTTTGCTATCTTGACATTTTCTTGACATGCTCATAAGACTGTGTTTTTATCTTCATGAGACTTTGTTCTTACTTTCATGAGACTGTGTTCTTACCTCTTAAAGCCTATTTATTTGTGAACATTCCTTCACACTGTAAAATATTTGATGTTCAATATTTGTTGTCAATGGACTTCTCTCATCTACTATCTAGTGTATCAACAATGGACTTCTCACATCTACTATCTAGTGTATCAACAATGGACTCCTCTCATCTACTATCTAGTGTATCAACAATGGACTCCTCACATCTACTATCTAGTGTATCAACAATGGACTCCTCACATCTACTATCTAGTGTATCAACAATGGACTTCTCACATCTACTATCTAGTGTATCAACAATGGACTTCTCACATCTACTATCTAGTGTATCAACAATGGACTCCTCTCATCTACTATCTAGTGTATCAACAATGGACTCCTCACATCTACTATCTAGTGTATCAACAATGGACTCCTCACATCTACTATCTAGTGTATCAACAATGGACTTCTCTCATCTACTATCCAGTGTATCAACAATGGACTTCTCACATCTACTATCTAGTGTATCAACAATGGACTCCTCTCATCTACTATCTAGTGTATCAACAATGGACTCCTCACATCTACTATCTAGTGTATCAACAATGGACTCCTCACATCTACTATCTAGTGTATCAACAATGGACTTCTCACATCTACTATCTAGTGTATCAACAATGGACTTCTCACATCTACTATCTAGTGTATCAACAATGGACTCCTCACATCTACTATCTAGTGTATCAACAATGGACTCCTCACATCTACTATCTAGTGTATCAACAATGGACTCCTCACATCTACTATCTAGTGTATCAACAATGGACTCCTCACATCTACTATCTAGTGTATCAACAATGGACTCCTCACATCTACTATCTAGTGTATCAACAATGGACTTCTCACATCTACTATCTAGTGTATCAACAATGGACTCCTCACATCTATTATATCAATAAACTGAACCATTTTTGAACTGCTCTTGACATCCAGTATTTGTTATAGATTGTTAACTCTCAAACTAAGGCAAAGGAAAACTGCAAATTGCCTTTTTTAATGTTCTAAACCTCATTGACAGGACACAAATATATTCAAAACCAGCCCCAAAACATTTAACACTTGAACACTTAATAGGCTTATAGTTGGGAAACTTTCATTCCAATTATTTTCATCTTCTCAAAACAACTTTATTGTTAAGAATCTTACTTAATTATCCATAATGTGTTTATACTTAATGAATGGAGTTTATTGTTATCAAACTTTTAACTTTCCCTACTTTACAAACCTTGTTTTGGGCTGGGATTGAAAGTTGTCAAGATGTTTGTTGTGTGTACACTAGATTGGTTACAATGAATGTAAATACAGTATCAGTTCATTATCTCAACTGTTTATGTTTTTGTTTGGTTTTAGAATTAAGACAATTTTTTATAGTTAAATTGCTATACTCTGTATTGTCAAATAGTTGGCATGTTTCTTAATTTGAGCATTTAGTTTATTGAGAAACCAGAGTAACACACTTTACAAATAGAATTCAGGTCATGAGGTATTTATGTATGATGAAGGGTATTGTGGATACAACAGTCATCAACTCTTTATTCTATCTTGGTTCTACCGTTTTGCAGGTGCCACCTCTGTCACATAGGGACTGTCACTATAGGGTACCACCTCTGTCACACACTATGACTAACTTAAACTTCTCAAGAATACGTGCAACCACAATTCAGTAGCATCAATGTCTTCCACTTTACTAGCTACGGCTTTCACATCACATCTTAAGGTTCCCTTTTGCTGTATACAAAAACTTTTCTTTACTAGCTTTTCCACTGATTATTGTAAGTTCTTTACTATTCCTCTTGACTTCTTCATTCTGATAAAGCAGAGCAAATGTCTCTGTATTCACTTGATATTTGTGATGAGCACATTTGCCGGGGATTATATTATCAATACTTGACAATTCAATGAAATGAAGAAAGAAACATCTCTCTGTATTTTCTTCAAACTTCTTTAATAACTTCTTCAACTTTCATATCAAATTAACTTCTTAATTCAATAACAACTTGACATGATACTTCATAAATAAAACTTAAATGATACATGAAACTTCACTTAGTATAACTTCAACTACTAAAACTTTACTTAATGGACCCGCTAATATCATAAAACTTATAACTGAGTGAGGACCAACGCTCTACAAGAACTACTACTATGCGAGGACCCCGTCTGACTGACTTTCCCTTAATTTATACTTTCTTTGATCGTACGTTCCAGAATCATGGAACCTTCTCAGATAATTATTTTAGTAACTTTGACCTTCTAGAAGCTGACGTGTGCTATTTTTTTCCCTTAACCTCTTTCTTCGATTGGATATCTAAAATTAACTTGTTTACGCTGGACACTTGCACTGGTTGAACTTGAGCTTCTAGAAACTGGTCGAAATAGGTCACAGACTCGACTCGTGACAATATTGATGGGTAGAAATCATTCTCTCTTATTAAGATATTTTGATCGGCTCGAATGTGAATTGTATGCTTATACAGGGTTGTAGCATTATCGTAACCTAGTTTTAGGCTAGGATGTAATAATCCTCCATTTTGAAAGAAATATGCAAAATAAACTTTTCCTACATTTCAATATTGTCCTTTTTTTTTGTGTCATCACACTGACGTTTAGGCAGTATTAGATTCATCATTTTTTTTAGGTTGTCATTTGTTTATTATTTAGAATTAGTATAGTTCTTTTAATTATGTGTAACTGATTTCATTTTCTTTGTTCAATTGGAAAATTAATTTATATTTGATATTGATTTACCAGTACCTATATAATATTAAAGTTTCCTGTTTGTTGATCATTTGATAGCAGAGGTTTTACTAAGTGATTTGATAGCAGAGGTTTTACTAAGTGATTTGATAGCAGAGGTTTTACTAAGTGACTTGATAGCAGAACTTTTACTAAGTGACTTGATAGCAGAGCTTTTACTAAGTGATTTGATAGCAGAGCTTTTACTAAGTGACTTGATAGCAGAGCTTTTACTAAGTGACTTGATAGCAGAGGTTTTACTAAGTGATTTGATAGCAGAGGTTTTACTAAGTGACTTGATAGCAGAGCTTTTACTAAGTGACTTGATAGCAGAACTTTTACTAAGTGACTTGATAGCAGAACTTTTACTAAGTTACTTGATAGCTGAACTTTTACTAAGTGATTTGATAGCAGAGCTTTTACTAAGTGATTTGATAGCAGAGCTTTTACTAAGTGACTTGATAGCAGAGCTTTTACTAAGTGACTTGATAGCAGAGCTTTTAATAAGTGATTTGATAGCAGAGCTTTTGCTAAGTGACTTGATAGCTGAACTTTTACTAAGTGACTTGATAGCAGAGCTTTTACTAAGTGACTTGATAGCAGAGCTTTTGCTAAGTGACTTGATAGCTGAACTTTTACTAAGTGACTTGATAGCAGAGCTTTTACTAAGTGACTTGATAGCAGAACTTTTACTAAGTGACTTGATAGCAGAACTTTTACTAAGTAACTTGATAGCAGAACTTTTACTAAGTTACATTTGTGTGATTCCAATGTCAGTACAAATATTTGACAGTGAGTACTAAAAAAAACCAATGTTGTTTACTTGCTGGTTGTCTAAAAGTTAAAGGTTATCTAAATTTTAAAGGATAGGTTAAGTGTAGGTTAAAGTTAAAGATAGCCTAAAGGTTAAATGTAGGTTAAAGGTTAAAAAAGTCTTAAGGATTAAAGACAGTCACAAGGTTAAAGCTAGGCTAAAGCTAAAGATACTCTGTAGTCTAAAGTTGGGATAAAAGCTCAAGTTACAGATTGTGATGAAGAAAATAGTTTGTTTGGTTTTATCCCCCACTATTTTTGTTCCTGACTGCATTTAGAAATGTGAAGTGGTCATACCTAAAGGTCTGTAGTTTGAATATTTTTTTACATTTCTTTTAATGAATTTTCAAATAATCAATATCATATATATTTACCTCTAGTCCATTGCATGGAACAAAACCTTTAAAAACACATCAGTTTGAGCTTTTTAAATATTTGATGTACATTTTAAGCTTTTCATTGAATTGTTATGAGAAAATATATATACTAAAATTTATTCAGTTTTCATAAAAAAAATTGTTAAAAATTCTTGCAAAAAAATTGGCTTTATTTAGGTTTTCATTCAAATCTTTTAAATTTATCACATTGCTACATACATTGATGGGTATTTGTAATTACTAAACAATAATTCACATGAGTACATTTTTAATTTGGAGGTTGGGAGGGGGGGGGGGGGGGTGGAAGGCCATGATCTTACGGTGTATCACATCATCTCATAGTAACTTTACAGGTCACTAACTTGGATCTCATCTTGACTTGGTGAAGCATTGACTTGAACATTGATCTACTAGAACTTTTGTTTTATGTTTGAATATTCTTAGACTGAACAATTTATCTCCACCTTTACATTTTGTTTTATGTTTGAATATTCTTAGACTGAACAATTTATCTCCACCTTTACATTTTGTTTTATGTTTGAATATTCTTAGACTGAACAATTTATCTCGACCTTTACATTTTGACTTAAAATTTTTATCTTTTCTTGAAAGATCCTGACACCTAGTTGATGTACACAATTGCAGACTCTCTTTTCATAACCATTTCTGTGGGAAGTAGAAGTTGCTATTTAGAGAGAAACCATTGAGAATGTTGAAGGTGTTGAGAATGTTGAAGGTATTGAGAATGTTGAAGGTGTTGAGAATGCTGAAGGTATTGAGAATGCTGAAGGTATCTCCTGACCTAAATTCAAGTTGTATTACTTTAACCAGTGTGTGTGTGGAAACTTTCCCAAGAAACATACTAGTTGATGTAAATTATGACCTTAACTCTAAAAGGTCATCCTATAAAAAGGTTTGTGCTCATTAGATCTCTGTATATTAAAAGAACACTTGGGTGTACTGTAGTTTGGCTTTTTAATAACTGATGTATTCATTTCTTGCTAATATCTGTGATAGTCTTGAAATACTAGATCCATTGTCTATGAAATGTGTAAAACTAAACACTATTCAATTATATGAAATTAAATGTAAACAATTTTAAAAGTTAATGTTTTAATTGTAAATAAGGTAGCAGGAAGACCATGGGAGGGGGTGTATTCAAATTTAAACCAAAAGGGAGGTTATGATATAACTATACACGGGAAAAAAACAGCAATAAAAATAACAAGGTTACAAAGACAGTTTGTGTGGAGACACAAAATCGACCCCTGAAGTGGTCCACCCAGGCAGGTAAAAAGGCAGGTTTCAATATTTTCAGAAAGAACGTCAGAATGAAATTCTATCGAAGACAAATGACAGAGAAGAATGGAGAAAGAAGGTTGACGGAACTTGTGTGGTGCCCCAGCGGTCCACAGACCAAAGGATAGGTGAATGTGTACTTAGATGTGAACCTGGCCTAACTAATGTCTTATGAATGTATAATTGCTCTAATTGTTTTGTAAACGGACAATCTCTTATTCTTCAAGAAAACAAAAAACAAATTCCCATTAGTTCAGTATTCTATGATTATAATACACTGATGCAGTTCACGCGATAATATGAAAAACTATTTATTAATTGTTGTTTTAAATTATGTCCAACTTTTAAGCATACTAAATAGATTTGTTCTCTTAAAAAAAAGTAAACATTGTTTTGTGTAAATGTAGTAGGCCTAATTAGTATGACAGAACTTATTTAACTTAGCAATACAAATGTAAAAAAAAAAAATTTGACAAAAAAATCTAAAAACGTTTGCATGAATGTGTTAAAAATATGGTAAACAGTCATCTCCCCTACTAAGGAGCCTCACGTGTTTGATACTATCAATAGTGAATTCATGTAAACTTGGTGTATTTTTATGAAACAAAAACTGCATGCATGAGTGATTTAAAAAATTAGATTTTTCGCTTTCAGAAAACAAAAAAAGTACAATCAGAACTTTGAATGGTCTAAAATATTATGATGTCGGATTTTCGCTGTCTTTTCTAGTTTACGAGATCTAAACGGGACAGACGGACATACATTCCACATAAAACTAATAGCGTTTTTTCCGCTTTCGGGGACCGCTAAAAACAAAAAGACCCCTCTCTCTCTTTTTAGAGGGGAAAAGCTACCATTATGTTTGTGCAAAATGTCCGCCTGTCACACTCAGATTTCGAAAACTAGAAGAGAAATGAAAAATATTATTTCACCATGCGATGCAGCTTGAAAAGTGTAGGTGCAGCGGCTACTTTTGGTTTTCTAAAAGCAAACAGTTTAATTTATAAAATTAATTATGCAAGCGATTTTTTTCATAACAATACACCAATTCTAAAACAATACATAAATGTAAGGAAGATAATGTTACAATATGTTAACAAAGAAAGACAATATTCTGTGTATTTTCAGTATCACTGAGTGAAATATATTTATAAAATGTACAAGAAATGTTCACAAAAAATATAAATATTACTTAAAGGTGTTTTATTCTGGTCAACTAGCTGCTAAAATTTAAAGAAAACATTTATATTTGTTTATAAAGGCTAAGAATGCACATTGTATGTAAATATCAAGCACATTTTTTAAAATGGGCTTTTTATGCAGCGACTTTCGTGCAGTAGCGTGACAAGTGTCTAGAAGACACAGTGCCAATCATTTCCCTCAAAAGATTTTGAATAAACAGATTTTTTTTTAGTGTCCCCATCAGAATAAAAGACGCTTATTTTTTTTTTTTTTTCGTTTTGTCTGTCGGTCTGTCTGTTCGTCACGTTTAGATTTAAAAAAAAAACAACTCTAAAAGCTATTGAAAATCTGATTTAATCTTTAATGTTCTTCCCTAACATCTCAATAGTTTTAAGTATCTATAATATATTGTTCCGGATTTTTATGAGAAATATTTTAACTCTATTTATGTATAGTCTCACTTCTCTCTTACACTACATTTAATTGTCTAGATAAAACGTTACAAAATCTAGTTATCGTTAAAATTATGTTCCTATTTAAGGAGAACAACGTCCTAACACCAAAGTATGGTATGAAAATCTCTCCACAAGGCTATGGTACATCTAATTTTCATAGGAGACCATCAAAAAATTTAATTAACGGTATTAGATTTATCTGGAATTCTATTTTTCTCTTACTATTTATACAAACATCTGGAACAATCTATTATATATACTTCAATCTTTTGCGATGTTTCGAAAGGAAAGTTTTTTTTTAATATTAACATGACGGACAGACAGACTGACAGACAAAACGCACAAAATGCGGCTTTAATCCTCTTTAAATAAATTCTATTAGAACTCAGCGCAGCAATGTCTATGAACCCTCGTTAATGCTCTCGTGTTAATAAAAACATTTTTTGGTACTAGCCCATTGTGGCGTAATGGAATTTTTTCCCTTTGACGTCATATGAATGAATTCTTTAAATGTAATGATAAAAAAAAACTGTGCACCAATGTCTATGAACACTCGATAACTTGCTCGTATTGATGAAGGCATTTTTTAGTCTAACTATAATAGGCCGTGTGACGTAGTGAATTTTTTTCATTTGACGTCATATGGAATGAATTCTTTAAATGAAATGCTAAATCAACTCGATATAGTAATGTTTATTAAATTTCGTTATCTGACTCGTATTTTAAAAAGACATGAAAGCTAGATCTAGATCTTATCTAGATTTTTTAAACTAGATCTAGATTTGTATAGTATATCTAGATTTTTAAAACTAGATCTATATTTATATTCTAATTAGAAGCATTGTGGATTCTAGATCTAGAATGTGTAATATATCTCTTTGTCAATAATAGGCTATTAGTTTGTAAACAGTTTGTTATTAAGTTAACAGCAATGCCTGGTCGTGCGGTTAGCGTGCTGGAGTGATTATCTCGACGGTCCCGGGTTCATACCCTGCTCGCTGCCATCCCTTTGAAACATTATTACTTTTGACAATCAAAATAAAATCAGGTCTTGAATATTTCTTGCGAATAGTCGGATCCGACGGGGGCCGTCTCTCTTTGTAATCTTGTTTCTTTCTAGTTTAGATTCTTTGAGAGAGGCACAGCGTTGGTAGTGCTATTCAAAAATTTATCTTTCTGCTTCAAAAGATTAATTGCATTCACTCCCTTGAGTTGCATTGCATCATCATTTCTAAACATTGCTAGGAATAATTTATTACCATCATATATAGTTACAAGGATTTGTAAAAAAAAAAAAAAAAACATTAATAAATAATAATCTCTTTTCCCAAAGCTTCTATAACCTTACTCTTGTCTGTCTGGTGGGAATATTTGAATTGTAGGCTGCACGTTATTTCTCTCACTTCCCAGTCAAAGATCACGTTGAAACTTTGCACAATTTTCATGGTCGACGACAACACATGGATCAATTTAAAAAAATTAACTAATTCACCAATAAATTAGTCGTAATTTACTCATTTTGTAAATAGAGACAGTAAGGCTTATTAAGCTACGGGGGGAGGGGAGATAAGGCTTCTTAGAGAATTACGTCGTGCGCTAGATTTTAAAACTAACAATTGACTATAAAACCTTTTCCTTTTTTTTAAGTTCGTGGCTAGCTCAGTGGCTAACATGTCGGCCTTCCATCGGGAGGCTCGAGCTCAGGGTTTAGAAACTTAAAAAAAAATATTTTTTTTTTAAAAAGCAGCTCGGAAACCTTTTAGATACCACCCCCCTCCCCTTTCACCCCACTGGTCCACCGGTTGCTTGCTATAGGCCTAAGCATGACAGTTGCGCTAAACAAAAACAATTAATACAAGTACCGTATTTCCAAATGGACAAATTTTTATTGTCAATCTAAAGCTAGTAAAAATTAATTACATGATTGATTCAAAATAATTGATACAAATTTACTTAATATAGACCATGCTTTTTTTTATATTGTTAAAATTATTTATGCTTTTTTTTTTGTTATATTTATCTACATTACTGAGAATGTCTGAGATCAGATTCAAGGTCACCCTAGGGTCTCAGCTATACTATTGCCTGAAGCTATGTATAAATTATAACTTAGTTTTCACGTGACTTGAATCTCGTGAAACAACTTGACAGACTGAAATGAGATCATTCTCGCGTTCCTGATGTTGCTGATCTGAAGTTTTAAGCACACACTTTTTTTTTAACCGGCTGCGAGTTACGTTTAAATCGGACAAACTAAAGGCCCAATTGAAACTCTTATTTCTTTTATTCTAGGGGTAACTGTGTAACCCTTGTGTACAAGGAAGGCAACATGTCATTGAAATTTGTTTTACTTCCATTAGTTAACAAGAAGAGCCGGGTAAATGTCACCTAGATACAGCGGGATAGAGTGTCTCTTCAGATGATTAGGCTTAACGAGTGGATTATATGAAAACCATTCTGCACACATGGCCGTTGTGAAAGCCGCCTAATCCCCACATCAATTGGCAATTCAAATAGGTCAGGTTTTATTGAGAAGCTCTGAGTCACTAGCTGATCATATGACCAACAGAGACCAATGCCTAACCCTTATCTTATAAATTACATACGTTACTAATAATAATAATGTACGCCCTACATACATTATGAGTCCACCCAAACTCTAATGGGTAAGCAGACTTTAACGTTGCGGAAAGTAAAGGCGGTTGGTCGTTGTGCTGGCCACATGACACCCTGTTCTTTAATCGTTGGCCAAAGAAACAGATGACTTTAACATCAACTGCCTTATAGATCGCAAGGTCTGAAAGAGGAAACTTTTTTTTTTTACTAACATGCATCCTATAGACTTATGGTCATAAACTATTGACTTCATCATTAACAACTCTTTCATTAGCGTGTTTTGTGTATTGTAGCTCTTAATCACTCATTGTATTCAGTGAAGGAAAAACAACATCGAACTGTAACTAATTAATAACAGAGAAAAGTGAACAGAACAAACACATTTTTTTTATTGGATAAACATTTGATAGAGCCATTGCACATATTACAATACGCTTGATAACACAGTTGTTGTAAACAACCAAGTGGAGAGTATGGAAGGCCAACTTTGCCATGATCTACATTTGAGACTTTGTGACCTATGCATGTTGAATACTACAAAAGCATTCGATGACAACAAGACTGTTTCGTGTTGACCCAAAAATAAGGCATAGGATGGGCACACGATTTAAATGTCACAAAAAAGCATATAAAATATATTAAACCCTTTCACTGCACTAGAGAGGGCACCACTAGTTTTAAATACTTATTTTCATTTTATTACTTGATGATAGCTGGATAAAAAATCTGTCAAAAATTATGTACACTTTGAAAGGGAAACATTTTCTCAACTAATTCCTATGCTGACAAACCAAACATCCTAATGACAATTACTTGGACAGTAGCTGACAGTGTATTCATTGTAAGACAGTTTTATTTCGTTCCTTAGTTTTGTCATAAAACAAACTGTCGCGTCTTAAAGCCAATCTAAAACACGCAGCAAGTAATAAACTATATCTCACAGAACTTAGTAACACACACACACACATCATCAATATTCTTCAAAAAAAAGTTCAATTGAAAACTATCTAGGTCAATATAAACGAAAGTCACGTGACTGCCATCTAATCTGGTTGTTGCATTAATCTGTACAAAGTGCTAGAAACAGGATTGCAATTCAAAACAAGTTGACTCTTAAAGTGTAGAATTATTTCATTGTTTTATTTAATTCTAGAACTGAAGAGGTATAAAAGTTCAGATAGTGATGTAACACTTCTCTAGTTGGTCATCTCCGGAGATAATGACATTTCCAATTATGTTCGTGTAGCTGTTGTTACATGCTGTTAGTGGTTATTTGTATCTCTTCATTATCCATTTTTTGTGTTCTGAACTATCAAGTTTCTAGGGACGCTAGTTGTACCGGACGTGATTATGAGAGACAAGGCTCACAACTGGGACATTGTCTCTACGTTAGCTTGGACATAAAAAGCTCTTAATTATTCTTTACTATCAGCAATAATTATTCGAATGTTGTAAGGAAGACAGCATGAAGAGGTCAGTGTTTCACGTGGCTAAGAAGACCATTGAGTGCGGACAACATTTCTTGTTGAAATGACTCAAACTCAGCCACTGGTTACTTGCATCACTGTTAATGAAATGTTTCCATACACAAATACCCCAATAACAAAATGTCTCAGGGGGACCTGCTTAGACGTGATAACCCATTTATTCATCAAAAATTTTATCTATCTAGCTGACAAAAAAAACAGCAAAAAAGAACAACCACAAAACTGTACTCGACAGATCTTTTGATTTTTATGACGTCTAAATGGATTCTAAAACATTCTGAAAGTTGCGTCATTATTCCAGCCTACATCAGGACTTGAGACCAAGACCTCGTAGTCTGAAGATTTTGTCAGGATTGTGTTAGTGTTAGTTGGAATGGCAGAACACTTTACAGAACATAGTTTGATTTGCAACAATATTCTTTTTTTTTTTGAATGTAGTTTCTTCTATGAAAATTATGACCTTAAACCTTAATCATTGGAATTGTTAAATTCTTTTGACAGCTTTCAATGCAAATATAATGTTCTGAATGCAGTGTGCCATACAATAAATATTTTGAAATTAGACAAAGGGAGATAACTTTTAAAATACTAGCGCCGAACGTTCAAGAGACTTGAAATAAAATGTCTACCAATTATTTCCCCTTGACCACTACCAAACACCATTTTCTTGATATAATCCTAGGTCAGTCACATTAGGTAACAAATATTAAACTCGTCTAGATAATGTTCATATAATGACTCGTACTAATGCTAAATGATGAATCTTATATTCCTATATAAAATGTACATAATCATGGATTGTAATCCTCTTCATGTCTTGTGTCTTTTGTTTGGATTTTTGTATAAAAATGATGAGATATTAATAGATCAGATTGATAGCACTTGTAGAGCTATAGTGTTAACTATTGTCTTTTGAGTCTCATTTTCTGCCAATATTTGTTTTGCCAAATATGAATATTTAAATGTATTACAAATTGGAACCTCCCCCCCCCCCCCCCCCCCCCCCCCCCCCCAATTAGGATCAGCAAAATCAAAGCAGATTTTGATCCAACTGTATAGTCAAATGTCCAAGAACTTCATTTAACCCATACCATCTGAAATGATTCTTAAAACTCTTGAATCCAATTCGCAAGGTGAAATTCAATAAAATCAAACTTCTGGCGCAATCATTGAGATTCAAATACATGTCTACCCTATGTCTGCCCTATTGAGTCTTCACACCGTTACACGCGGGCAATATAAAGGCATTATTAAGTATTAAAAGAATCAACAGTATTTTAATCAAGAAATAAAACGGACAAAGATATATCTTTATTAAGTAATGTATAGCGCAAGGATACCTTCATTAAAATAATCGATTCTGGAATCGACATCATGTTTATTGCTATGTTAACCTTTGACCCAACTTCAATATTTAGTTAAAGACTGCCCTCTCCCCCTTTAATCTTATATATTATTTGGATTTTTTCAGAATGGAGTGTCCAGTTGCTGGGGGTAACTTTGATGTTGGACTATTTTTCTGAGGTACGGGAGATTTGTTGGTGCTCCGAGAAAATGGATCGTTGGTCGAACTTTTCACGTCCGGAGAAGGCAGGTCAAAGGAGACATTATCCTCCATTACAGTCTTTAGGCTGCCCATCGCTTTGACCAGGCCAAAAGTGCTCGACTTAATGTTGGCGTTCTTAGCGTCGTTGCGGCCCGTGGAACGGCGCTGAGGTTCAGGGCTGGCGTCGCTGCTGCCTGCAGAGTGCCTCCCGTCCGCTTCGTCCTCGCTGTTGTTGTTGAGGTCGTCGTCCTTGAACTCATCGTCCTTGAGGTCCTTGAGTTTGGCCTTGCGGGCCGAGTCACTCTCCAGCATGACGCTAATGACGGAGAAGTCCCTGGCGTCACAAAGGTCAAGGGGCCGCTCACCATCATTAGTCTTAATGTCCTTACTGGCGCCCTTACTTAACAAATACCTGAGCAAAGAATGACAATATTACAATTAGTTCAAAATAGCTATAACATCAAGAGAGTAGCAAGAACCTTATAATACAACAATGTTATATCATAGTTTTAAATTGTGGAAAACCATTTAAATGTCATAGATACATTATTATATTTCAAAATGTTTAACGGTGAGGTAGACTCCCTATTATATATAAACAAAACCAGAACGTGATTTGCATACTTGAATTAATCACAGTTATTTTCACTTTGTTTTACTGTTTAAAGATCTGATTGACGTTCTTTTTCTTTAAGGCATTAAAATACACCAGTTTCCCCAAACTGTCGACAATTCTCATAACTCGGAGTACCCTTCGGAGTATGTATATATACTATATGACCCAATGAGAAAGATAATATTGTTTGTGCTTAGAGGACAGATCATTCTAATTTGGTTGCCTGATTGTTATTTGAATATGAGATGCGGTTCCGAGTATTCTGCTCCTTGCTTTCGACTGAAAGTCTACACACGTTGAATAAGCAACTTCCTATTTATTTCTCCGAATTCCTAGTCTGTAAACGTAACAAAGTCCAAAGCCCGGACACTTGCTGGACTGGCTTGTAAAATGTCTTTTTCATCCTCGCCCAGGAGGAGATTTTATAAAGCAAAAAGCTCACCCAAAGTAATTCGACAGAGGCCATATTCGTTATCCATTTGTAAAACCTAAATTATGTTATACACTTCTTGAGTTTCTTTTTTTAAGAATCCGTCTGAAGCTACTTCTAGCGACCAACCTTCTGGCATGAATGCTTTGATAATGTCATACCGATTTCTTATCCATTCAATAGTGTTGTTCATTCGCAAATTCTCCAAATGAGGTTTTAATGTTATTGTTATCAACTCATGAAGAAAAGGAAATAAGTCTAATTCTCATTGCCAACTCTCTTTAGTCCTAAATTTAGTTTTTCCATGGAAGCGATTTCTTTATCTTGAACATGAAACAATGACATTTCTTTGCCTTGTTAAGTTGAGGTAATTTAAACAAGAGAATCTGCTAAGTAGGCTAGTTTGCAAAACGATTTCTAGTCATTTTCTCAACTCAAACCTATTATTAAGAAATAGAGGTTTATACCAAAGTTAAAATCATCGATATATATTTTTTTTGAAGGAAAAAACGAACATGAAAAGAAGCTATTAACTACTTCCTATTTCTTCCCATATTTGCGGAAAAGTCCCAGGTATATTTTTCAAAAATATCAGCATAGTTAATGAGTTGCAACAAAGATATGATAATGTATGACGGCCTGGTTTGCTTCATAATACCCATGGGGGTGCGGGGACGGATATATTACTGGATTAGAGACTTCCTACAAGAGCGTACAATAAGAACAAGGATTTAAGGAGAAGTCTCAGGGGAAATGACCCTCGAGCACGGCCTCTCCCAGGGCTTCGTCCTGTCATGCATCCTTTTCATGGCCTTCATAAATGACCAACGGCCTAGCTAAAATACCAAAGGTTGCTATATGCGGATCAAATTGACCTTTGGAAATCGGGAAGGAGCGCAATCTCTATACAAAAAGTGTTGCAAGAAGATCTCCATACGCTATGCTCATACACACACAAAATGGAGACCATAAATTAACATCTCCAAGACGGTCAATTCTTTGTTCACGCAAAAGAAAGCAAAGGAAGAGAAGCGATATGGAGAAATGGAGGCGATAGAACACAAGAAAAGTGAAAGATTGGGAGAGATTTTTTAAAAAAAGACAAAATAAATATTTAAACATCACTGCTGATTAAATTTGGGCCCCATAACTAAACAGCTAATTGTTTCAAAAAAAAAATTCGCTAATATATAAATTTTAAATTGGTTCTCATATCCACCAACGATGGAAAATGTTTCGGGGATCTTTTCAATTTGGCACTGAAACTGCGAAGAACATTAGCCTACAAGAACTTTATGAAGGTCCACCGGATGTGACAGTCCATAGTCGTTTGAACCGATACTTCAATCCAGCCCTAGATAAAACCAGTTCATGTTCCTGATTGAATGCCATTACAAGGAGATACATTTTACTCTTTACTAACCTGGCAATGTCCGCCTCGCCGTTGGCACATGCTGCATGAAGCGGTGTCCAGGTATCCACATCCTTCTTGTTCACGTCAGCTCCGTGCTGGACCAAAAGTTTCACTGCTGCCAGATTTCCTTCCAGCACGGCATTATGGAGAGGTGTCAAACCTGTCCAAATATAGAAACCACCAATATAAAGTTATTAAAGTTGTGGAAGATGTGATGTGAATAATCAAGAGTGTTTATAGTTCCATGGGCATAAAGACGTCTTTGATTCATCTAAAGTGTTTAAAGTATAGATCTGTGAGTATAAAGACGTCTTTGTGTTTCATCTATAGTGTTTAAAGGATAGTTCTGTGAGTATAAAGACGCCTTAATGTTCATTCATCTTATTAAAATGTACAAAGTTTGAGCCGAGTCTAAATAGTTGACTGCAATGCAATAAAATATTTCATGCTAGTTCATTTAAAAGGAGCTTTTTAGCCCAAAACAAATGTCATTTATATCTTGCTTAAGTTAAATCAAAATAAGTAACAAAATGATAAAGGGAGTTATACACAAATTTGTGGAGGTCATTCGTACTCTCACAATACCTTGCACAGAAACTTTTATTGAAATGTAGGTGCATGCAATATTGAAAAAAAAAATTCACGAAGAGAATAGTCCCTTTTGTTTTGTGTGTGTGCTGTCCGTCTGTTCATCACATTTAGATCATAAAAAAGTAAAATGCAATTGAAAATTTAATTCTATCATTCGCTTCATTGTGTTTTTCCCCCTTTACTTGTGAGTGTGTAAGTTTCACTAACTAAAGATAGTCACATAGCTCTGCATAACCACAACTAACATCTTATGACCTCACACTAACACAGAAAATCTCATTTAACCTCAGTTCATGCCATGTAGTCATATTGACCATACATGGTCACATTGACCCCTAATGTGAAATTAACTCCACGTGGTCAATTTGACAACCTCATAGGATCACTGACATAATCAAAGCCCTCTTATTTTGTGCTAACTCTTTATAGCTGTCTCATCCTCATCTGAATAAATGGTCAACATTTACGACGGGACATTGATTTGATCCGGACTATTAGCCTCTCTTGATTTAAAATAGAAATCAAATCCCTTGAATGTTTCACTATAAAATATCATGTCCTATTTGTTAGCTAAGGTGTTAAATATTGAGTCCACTTAAAAACCAATGTCAATGATTCTAGTTTATCTAAGAGGCTTAAAGACACATAGAGAAAAATTAACAAAATCTGACATTTAATTAAAATTACATTTCTTGTAAAGTTCACATAACACACCTTGCAGTAAGACTCTATTTTCTTAAAGAAAACAAATATTTTAAAAATCATTTTTGAAGTCTACAAGTCTAAATCTTTCGCCTCAGAACTGGACACAATAAAATGAGACAACATATGATCCGGAAGCTCAAATTTGGAACCAGTGAAATCTGCCCGTGTGGAGTGTCATCAGAAAATGCTGACCATGTCCTTCAAAACTGCATTCTTTACCAAGAGGCCCGAACAAGACACTGG